CGCGCTCAGCCATGCCCCGTGAGTCAGATCCAGAATGACACCCCCCACTTCCAGCTCAGCAGTCTTGGTGCAGAGACGGTTTCTCTTTCTCAATAGTCCCAACGGAAGTCCAGAAACTGAGTCATATTGGCCTCGTTCTGTTCACATGCCTCTAAGTCTGTCACTGAGTGCCAGGGCACGAACAAGCTGTTTGGCCCTGGTTGCCATCCACCCCATACCTGGTGGTAGTGGCAGGAGGTGGGGCTGCTGCTCAATCCCCAAACAATAAAGATCAGGAGTGGGGAGGAGGGGCCGCAAGATAGGCAACAACAACAGCTGTCCTCCATCCATGTAGATGTTATATTTTTATGGCCAAATAGGAAAAAAAGAAAAGATTGCCAAAAGGACGAGGTCTCAGGAAAGGAAATGAAATCTGCTTTGAGTCAGTCATCAACTCGCCAAATTGAATTGTAGACTTTTGGTTAACTCTGGCACAGACAGCGTGAGAGCCTTTTCGTTGGTCTTGGGCAACCCAGAACCCATGAGAACCCCATTCGTTCTGGTGCTCTGGGGTCCTGTCCCTCTCTCCAGCTGTTTTTGAGTTGACTTGGCACTAAAGTTGGATTTCACGTTTCCCCTCAAGTGTGAGCATTTATATGCCACACGGGCCTGAATACTGTTTCCTACCTGAATTCCCACAATTTGGTGAAGTTCTCTGTAGCCGGCTTAGAAAAAGGTTCAGAGGGCACTTCACTTGTCTTCTCTCTTCTAGTGTTGAGATGTCAATTTTTCAGTATTGTCCGCGACAGAGAATTGCAGTGGAGTGGAGAGCCTCTCTTGCCAAGTCCAGGAGAAAAGATCAAGCGAAACAAAATCAGTTTTCAGAGTTAAACTTTTTGAAGCAGTGACATTGTGACTAGGGGGCTAGAGACCTGTGGAGTGTCGACATTTATGTCCTAAAACTCTACTGGAGTAGTTTCCTGAGACCTGGATGGCCTTTGCTCGTGGACCTCAGTAACTGCTTGTAGGACATTTTGGCCAGTCAGGCTGATGGCCTCAACGTCAGCTGACAGTACTCCAGAGGACGCGTTTGGCCTTGTTTCCTCAGAATGAGTGCACAGAGAAAGACAGAAGTTTTCCCCTGTTCTAAAAAAGGATAAATTCACTTCCCACTTTTGGCACAAGGAATTGAGGAAATTAGTCACCATTTGATCAGTTGAAGCGTTTTCCTTTAAGGCAAAGCCTTTGGACCTGAATTTCATGTGCCAAAAGCAACACGGATACACCCATGCATGTGACCCTTCTTGTTAGTGTTGGGAATCACACCGATTGTGTCTGCCACGAATCTTCTGGTGCTCGTTCCAGTTTTCCAGTGGCTTGTAGATTTATTTTTTTTAGCAGTCATGTCCATTTATAGTCTATTTTGAAGGGTCTTCAAAGCGCATGGGTGTGTACGCAAAATAGGGTATGACAGAAAAGCACATTTCTAAAACTAATACCCTGAGGGTCCCTGGAAGCTTTTGTTGAGACAGCCCAGTGTGATCCCCGTGCAGGATTCAGGAAATGTTTGCATTACAGATGGCTCACAGAAGCTTCCAGAAGGCTCTTGAGGGAGGCTGAGTCAGGAAGAACCATTTGCTGTGGGGTTCTGAGCCTGGGATCCACAGACAGAACCTGGACAACCACAGAACAGAGTGCTGGGTCCACAGACTCTTACTACAGACTCCTCTCACACAATGTGCAAACTCACTCGCACCTAGGCAATGTTGAATCTCATCATTTTGTACAACACATGAGAAAGAAATGATTAAAATTGACGTATTTCATTCTGCACAAATACATTTATAAAGATTACACTATAAAGTTCTCTTCTGAAACTCTTTAGTGTTTACAATACATAAAAATAAATGCTAAATTCATTTAACAAATGTTTTGAATTTAATTATGCTTTTAAAAGTCAGAATTTGTCCATAGAAAAAATGTAAAATGACATTCATCATGATTATTCTGACATATTCATATTATAATATATATTTTTGGTTTCAATATATGTACATTAAAATATAGATTGAAATTTAGCTAGGTTGGATATTGTTAAAATTTGTTAATTGAAGTTTTTGCATTTTGTATTTTAAAAAAGCAACTGGGCTGGGTGTGGTGGCTCAAGCCTGTAATCCCAGCACTTTGGGAGGCTGTGGTGAGGGGATTGCCTGAGCCCACAGGTTTGAAAACAGCCTGGGCAACTTGGCGAGACCTCATCTCTGCAATCAAAAAAAAATTAGCCAGGCATGGTAGTGCGCGCCTGTAGTTCCGGCTACTTGGAAGGCTGAGGCAGAAGGATCGCCTGAGCCCAGCAGGTCGACGCTGGGGTGGCCATGAGCATAGCATGCCACTGCACTCCAGCCTGGGCAACAACAGAGTGAGACTCTGACTCAAAAAAAAAAAAGCAACTAGTCTGTTTTTATATTTTCTATCTTCTGTTTATTTCTAGTAAATTCCTCTGCAAATAACATTGTGATGGAGTGAATAGTTCTTTTTAACCACTAAATAATTTGTGTAATATAGTTAATCAATGAAGTTTTTTAATACTAGTTTTATAGTTTTAAGTAAAGCTTTATGAGACTTTGATTTAAGCAGGTGCAATTTATAGATCAGAAGTTAAGTCTAGGGAGAAATTTGAATAATTGTTTTTCTTCATGGTCGCTGTGATTCTTCTCTTTAACCAGTTATCTGTTGTGATTAAAAAAAAAAAAAAGCAAGACGACTCTGCCTGTGCAGGAACCCTTTGAAACTCCTCATCTGTCACAGCCACCACAGCAGCCACGCGCAGCGTGTGAAGCCCGAGTCACACCAAGCCATTCCGGGTCTCCTGCCCATGTGTCTACGTTTAGCAGACGCTCAGTGGCTTCAGACTGAGTCGCTTTGGAAAAGCGATGTACTTAACTCACATTATTGTATGTGATAGACATGAAAACTAAAACAAGAGATTTGGCATTAGAGTTCTGAAATCAGGGAGTGAAGATAAGTTGCTTAAGGGGTGAAAAGCACAGTTGGATAGAAGGAGTAAGTTCTGGTGTCAGGTACCACAGTAGTGAAATCACAGCTAGCAATCACTTGTGTAATTTACACGTAGCTAAAATAGAAGAATTGTCGTGTTCCCAACACAAAGAAAAGCGTTTGAAGTGATGGTTATGCTAATGTCCCGATTTGATCATTATACATCGTGTACAGGTATCAAAATATCACAAAAACCCCCAAAATATTTCAATTAAAAAAATCTCAGTTTTACTGATTAGCATAAGGACTTGGGGGATGTTATTAACTTTCTGACTTTCGGTTTCTTGTCTTTAGATTGGGGATAGTTATAAATGCTATCAAGATCAAATGCGTTAAAACATAGGAAATCCCCGGAACACTGTCTGGCATCTGGGACGCTCTCGCTGAGTGTTGTTATCTTTGTTGCTGATGTTATCATTAAACAGGAGCACAGAGCCTGGTGTAGAGGAGCCCTCAAGAAAGGAGGAGCATAATTGATGCAGCTGCTGAGGGTTCAGGAACCAAGGGCAGCCCTGGTTCCTCCAGGAGAGGCACAGCAATTTTGCATGGACGTGGGAATTAAGAAAGGAGCTGACAGTCAGTGGACCTCCAAAATACCGTGTGCCTCAGCCACGGAGGAGAAGAAACAGAGATGGTGCCATGTGCAGCTGGCTGTGTATGACATGTCTCCTCTGTGGGACAAGTGGAACCCAGGGTTGGGAGAACTAGCTTTGCAGCCTGAACTCCCCTGACCACACACAGCACATCTTGCTTCCTCAGTGATGAGTTAAAGAGGACAGGAAAGAGTTTTCCTGGCAGATGCAGGGAGTTTGGAGAGCCTCCTTGGAAGTCCCTAGGAGTCTCTTTTGCAATTGAAAGAAACGCCAATCAATAATCAAGACACTGCCAGTTGAGGTGGCTCACACCTATAATCCCTGCCCTTTGGGAGGCGGGAGCGAGAGGATTGCCTGAGCTCACGGGTTTGAGACCAGCATGAGCAACTTGGCGAGACCTCATCTCTACAGTAAATCAAAAAATTAGCTGGGCTTGGTGGTGCTGCCTGTAGTTCCAGCTACTTGGAAGGCTGAGGCGGAAGGATCCCCTGAGCCCAGCAGGTCGAGGCTGCAGTAGCCGTGAGCATGCCACTGCACTCCAGCCTGGGCGAGAGAGTAAGACTCCAACTCACACACACACACACACACACAAATCAAGGAAGACAGGGTAGATATTAGGAAGTCTGAGACACCCCATGGTCCCAGCACTGCTTCAAGCTATGGACTACCTGCAGCTGGGGCAGCTTCTAAAACAACCTGGAGCCATTGACCAGGAAGCCCTTCCCTAAACCAGGAAAACCCCTTCCGTAGACTGGAATCCTCCTCTCTAGACCTGGAGGCGCCTCCCTAGATAGAACTGGAGGCTTCCTCCTAGACGTGGAGGCCCCTCCCTAGACCAAAGGCATGAGGACTGCCTAGAACCCTGCAACTTCCTACTCCTCACCCTGCTGTCTAGAAAGGCATTCTGCTGGGTGTCATAAGTTGCATCAGGGCCAAATAAGTGTATCCTTCTATGTCATTTGCAATCATCTGACTGTGTTCTGGGAAATCATGTTGAATAAAAGAAAGTTCAGATTAAAAAAATATATACCCTTATATACCTGCCCAACAGATCAGTTATACACCTGCCCAACAGATCAGTTGAGGTGTGTGCACACAATGACATATGCTAATAGTTCTTCACTCAAGAGAGGGTTTCACTTTTGTACATGTAAAAGCTAAGTTTCATTTTTGTACATATAGAAAATGTGACTTCAATAGAAAAAGATCAGTGGCTATGTTAACTGTGGAAAATGATATAGTACCTCACACAACGGTAACTCATTCAGAGTTATCTAATGCAGGCTATGCATATGCAGCATTTTAGAGGCAAATCATCTACTGATGACTGTTTTTAAAAGCTTTTATGTGTGTATGTTCTTTTTTTAATAGATACGCAAAAGCAGGAGTCCATCGTGGGTGGGGGCACAACCAGGCACTGCTTCTATAGACTCCAGCCGGACTCTGAGTACAAAGTCAGTGTGTACACCAGGCTCCAGGACCTGGAGGGACCAGCCGTGAGCATCTTGGAGAAAACACGTGAGTCCAGTGTGGTTTCTCCGACCCCCCCATGAATGGCACTTTAGGCGTCCTGCTTTGATTCAAGAAACCTTATTCCATGTAGAAAAATATTACTGCTTGCTGTCCAGAGTGATGTAACGGGAGTTTTGTTCCCCTTGTCCAGCCTGGAACTCATGCATTCAGGCTGCTGATGTCACCTGTGTGGTCTCCCCACTCTCCACACATGCTTTTCCTGGGACTGAAAGGCCACCTAAGGCAAAGTGCATGAGGCACGGTAGCCTGGAGTACTGTGGTCCAGATCCCCGAGGCACGTGTGTGGCATGTGGAGGGAGTGTGGGTGCAGCGTGGAGACCAGCTGCTGCCACGGGAGCCACATGTGTCAGCGTAGCCCAGGGTGGGAGGGAGCCATGGTGTCCCACCTGGCTGGCCCTGGTGAGAGGCTCTTATGCTTTTCCAGGCTGCCGTGGATCTGGTCATGTGTACAGGAAAGGGGAGCACAGCATGAAAGCAAGGCACTTTGTCCACATTCCCGGGAGCCAGGAGAATGCCCACTTCTTGGAATGGCTTTTGATGGAGTATTTCTGACCCAGAGACCACAGGCATTAAGTGGGTTTGAAGTATCGTGAGTTCTGGGGGACACCTGCTGCTTAGCTCCGTCTCCTGACCTTAAACTTGAGGTTCCTGGGGTTTGAATAGGGGGTGGGCAGTGGGCTCTCCTGGTGGCCCTCTGTCGTATACACAGCATCTGGCAGGACCACTGCCCATGTACAGATCTTTCAGCCGTTCTGGAGCATGCAGAAAGAAACTGGCATCCATGCATGAGCTTCAGGAACAGAGGGTGGAAGTGTATTAAACGAGATCATCTACTATTTTGTAACAGGTTATTGCATGACACTGAAATACTCAGTATCTTATATGCCACATGCATTTTTGTGTATAATTTACATACCTTAAAATTTAAGAGTCATTCTAGGTGCACAGTCCAGTGACTTTAGTGCATTTCAAGAGTCATGCAACCATCACCACAACCCAATTTTGGAGCATTCCCGTCAGCCCAAAGAAGCTTTCCTGTGCTCTGCCTTGGCCTTCCTGCCTCAGCCTCGGGTCGTCCGCTTCCCTTTATCCCCTGTGCGCCTTTCCTGGGCGTTTTGCATGAGTGGAAAATGCGCCACATGTAGTCTTCCGCATCTGGTGTCTTCTACTTAGCACACGTCTTTGAGATGCATTCATGCTGGTGCATGTATTTGTAGTTTGTTCCTTTTTGCTGGATTTATAGACCATATGCTTTTGAAGTTAGCAGGGGCCTGGACATACACAAGATTTGGAGTACAGTGGCCTGGCTGGGCTCTTGCTCTGTGCCTTTCTGGCATCGTGGCTTTGGGCAGTTCAACACCCCTCTGAGCTACGTTTTGCTCATCAATAAAATTAAACACCCACACTCCCCCTCCAGAGGGGCAGGACAGGGCCAGTGGAAGGGCGCGTGTTGAAAAGCTTTTCGGCCGGTTCCCACTGAACAAGGACTGCGCGTCACCACCCTTGTTAACTTATTGAAAGTCGCAGGTGGCAGGCCACGAGGTAGATCTCTGTCAGATGTGCCATACTTTTTTTTAAGTTTCAAGTGGTTTTGAAAAGCTAGACGGTCTTGCCGCACAGCTTCATCGTGCCAGCCCGCTGGAATCAGCCAGCTGCTGTCTCATCTTAGACAGAGCGTATGTGCTTAAGTCTGCTGCCATTCCTTAATGCTTCGGCGAAGTTCTTTGCTCGTATCCATGACCTGCCTGACTCCTCGTATTAACCTCTTCTGCCTTGCTGTAAAGAAATACCCGAGACTGGGTCATTTGCAAAGAAAACAGTCTTGTTTGGCTCATGGTTCTGCATGGTACCTGCATCTGCCGGGCTTCTGGTAAGGCCGCAGGAAGCTTTTGCACATGGCTGAAGGCGAGGGAGCAGGCATGTCACATGAAAAGAGCAGGCAAGAGAAGGAGGAGGTGGTGCCAGGTTCTTTTAAACCATGAGCTCTCTGTGAATGAATCATGGGAGAACTCACTCATTACTGCAAGAATGGCACCAGCCCTGCGACCCAGTCACCTCTGGCCAGGCCCCGCCTCCAGCACTGGGGATTCTATTTCAACTGGCGATTTGGAGCAGACAACAATTCAAACGATAACACCCCCCAAACACTGGAGTTTGGGACCCCTGATCCGCTTCAGCTTCTCCTAGCCTTAACCCCACAACTGTTAGCCCCTGACCTAGGGTCAGATCCAATCTGAACTGCTCAGATGTGAACGTTTACTTATGTTGGAGATGTCTGTCTTCTTGGAGCTTTTGCCCATGGGTTCTCGTTCAGCCTTCCGAAGGCGCATGGCCCAAGACCAGTGCCTGTTTCTGGGGCAGTCCCTCACGTCCTTGAAGACAGGGACTGTCTGTAGGCCACGTGGTTATAAACACGCACACACACACACACACACACACACACACACACACATACACACACACCCCTTTTGCTTTTCGCAAATGGGATACGCCATGGTATTCTGTGACTGGCTTTATTTCACACAAGTAATCTTGGATTTGTTTTCATTCAGTACGATGTAGTTACCGCAGCATCTTTTTAATGTTGAATCAGTTTATTCAAGTAATTTTATTTCATTGGATCTTTGGATCAGAGGAGACCTTGAAACTCACCTCTTTCAGACTTCCTGCCAAGGAAGAAATCTCTTTACTACATTCCTGGCAAATGGTCAGCCTGCCTGCTTGAGCTCAGATCATCCTTCCAGTGATTTGGGGCTCGCCCTTTCCGGGGGGGAAATCTGTTCTGCAAATGGCTGATGAGTAGAAGGTTGGGATGATGAGAAGAGTCTTCTTAGCTTTCCTTAAGTCTTTAGTGTCAAGCAGGCTAGAATTGAACACATGATACAGTTTCGTTTTGTGCTTGCCATGAGTTCCTGATCCTTGCCACATGAGCTGGTGCGAGAACAGAGAGTGGCTGCTCTGACCTAATTGTCCCCATCCTTTGACCCAGCCACATCTCTGCCTGGCAAGGGGCCTTCTCATCCCACACCACCCAGGCTGACGAGATCCGATCACACTCTAGCCTGCCAGCGTTTGCATTTGGCCCTCAACGCCAAAAGACATTTTCCATACACAGTCTGAGCAGAACAGAGAGAGAACCCTGTCCCACTGGCATGGTGACTGGCATCCGGGGGACACCGGGCAAGAAGGGACAGGGGGCAGCTGAGCAAGGCTTGAAGGTGGGTCCCGGGCAGTACAGAAGGGAAGTGGGTGGCACGTGTGAAACAGCCAGGGGTGACTCCAACGGGGTTGGTGGGAATCCTGGCAGTGGAGGTTCCGACTGCATTGACCCTGCTGAATGAGCTGCGTGGTGACACAGTGGGTTTCAGGCCTTCAGTCCAAGCCGGAAAGTGGGATGGAGTCCGTGGTCATGGGTCGTGTCTGACTCAGGGTGGCCGTTCATTCCCAGAGAAGACAGCTGCCGAAATCTGGACTCCCTGTGGACGCATGACTCCGTGACCACCCTCTGGTCCCCACAGATGAGGTGGCTAATTCGTGTTCTTCTCCCCTTGCCTCCACAGGGTCCCCCCCCACTCAGCCTCCAACATTTCCGCCAACCATCCCACCAGCAAAAGAAGGTAAGAGAAGAATGCAATAATGATGTGACTCTAGGGTTAGGACTTGTGTTGGCTTTCTCCTTTAAACCTGGGGGTTCATGAAAGACATTTATTGCAGCTGCCTAATGTTCTCCTGAATACAAATGCTTGTCAGTCACGATGGGATTTTAAAATATCCATTGATAATCAACTCTGTGCACAAGGTATGAGTTTACCAACAGAATTGCTTCATATTGATTTTATTAAAAATAAATGCCGGGCTCGGCGGCTCAGCCTGTCATCCCGCGCCTTTGGGAGGCTGAGGTGAGTGGATTGCCCGAGCCCGCGGGTTCAAGACCCGCCTGGGCAGCGAGACCTCATCTCTACAATCAATCAAAAAAAAAAAATCAGCTGGGCGTGGTAGCGCAAGCCTGTAATTCCGGCTACTCGGAAGGCTGAGGCGGAAGGATCGCCGGAGCCCAGCAGGTCGAGGCTGCGGTGTCCCGAAGCGGCCGCTGCACTCCAGTCTGGGCAACAGAGTGAGACTCCAACTCAAAAATAAATAAATAAATAAATAAATAAAAATAAATGTTCACCAAGGAAGAGCATCACTTGTGAGTGAAAATTCAGTCTGCAAACAGGGTGATGTGTCCCTGATCCCCTCTGAAATGTCTCTTTCAGTCATTTTCTCTGTGTCGTCGCCTCTTACCTGAGCTATCAGGGTTACTTTCAGAAGCCTCCCGACAAAGGAGTGGTCTTCGTTTTCATGTCATTAGTGGGCATTTGTCAACCAAGTTCTTTACCCTCAAAGCTCTTGCGGTAGGCGTGGGGATACAGTCATAACACACGAGTCAGCTCTTTGCTTGTTTTCAGTGTTGAGGAGAAATGGGCACTTGTTGAGATAATTACCAGTGGAGGACGTGAGTTACAAACAGCGGCTGTGTTCTGGTCGCCCACAGTCGAGCACGGGTAATGCTGTGGGCGCTAAGTCCCGACGGAGGAGGCCGGTGACGCGCGTCCTGAAGAGCCTGGGTGATGGATGGTGGGATGAAAACTCGCCCCGGAGAGGGAGCCAGGGGGAACGCCGGGTGCTTTTGTGAGGCACGGAGAGGAGAGGGGACGGAGTCATGGGGTGCTTGGCGGGCCGCGGATAGGAACCTGGGCGTGCCTGGTCGGAAATGGGCACCCCGAGACGCTGGTGTGAAGTGAGGTGAGCTGAGGGGCTCCATGTTGAAGAAGGAGAACCCTGTTCAGATCTGGAGGATACACAGGGGCTGAGGAGCAAGCAGGACACGCGGTGGGATGTTATACCGAAGGGCACATTCCGCGCATCCTGCGTCTTAAAGGCCCGTGACGTGCCAGGGAGTCCACGAAAAATAAGGTGCCTCTGCCGCCTGGGAGCTTCCAGTGGAGCCCGGCGCCTCCGAAAGAGGAAGACGCAGGAAACAGAGTCCTGAGAAGCCCTGGTGAAGCTTGCCACCGTCCCAGCACGGCGGCAAAGTCTTCCCTGCCCAGCCACTTGGCAGCATCGCTTCCCAGACTGTGTCACGTGAGAACAAAGCTGCGCGACGCAGGGCTCCGTGTGTGTGTCTTGGGCTGTCCGCCGTCTTTGATGCCACTCGCTCTGCCTGGACAGCCAGACTCTTTCTTCCTCCGTCTTCATGTCTAGCCTTCTCAGTCTTGATATTGATGACTATTCTTGTGGTTGGCGTCAACCGCAGCAGGGTCATAGTTGATACATTTACCAATTAGGCACTTTGGATGCAGTTGCCACAGAGTGCTCTGAGGTCAGAATATTTTTATTTATAGCTGAGCATGGATTTCATTCAGCAGCATCCATGAATGCTCATGGAAGACTGTGATGCGGAAGGATCTGGGGGTGGAAGGACTGACGATGCAGAAACGTTGGTTCTGAAGTTTTTTATCATGATGGTTTTAGATGGTGGCGCTCTTACAACTTGAATGCACTGTTCATTTTAGGCTTTACTTGTTCTGAGTATATTTAATTTAAAAGCCTATACATTTCTTATTATTAAAATAATACTATTTATTAAACAAACATTAAAAAGCAGAAAAAGGTCAAAGAAGAAAATTAAAAACACAACTTTATTTCCCAGAGGTAATTCTCTCATGCATGTGGATGCATTTTCTTTATTTGATTTTTATTAATAAATTTTTCATTTTGACTATATTTTAAAATAGAATTTGCTCTCATTTTGGAGGTAAAAACCTAATTTTCATTTCAACTTTATTTAGAAATGGAGGACCTGGTTTTCTTTTATAAACTCATGATTACCAGATCTTGTGATTCCTTTCAGCTTAAATTCAAACCACAAATTTGTAAAATTTTATCAATCACAGAACTCATAAGAACAACCTCACCAGTTCCTGACTGTCCCTGGAGCATTACCTCACTTGGAGATGGTTTATTTTATGTTATAAATAGCTGTAAGGGAATGAAGCTGTACTTCATAAAATAAAAGCCAAGTGAGATTATTTTTTTAAAGAACGGAGAAAGACACATTATCTCATAGAATGTTTGCGTGTAACTGGCCTAAGATGAAAAGATTCAGATCATTGAAGAGTACATTTTTTGCTTAATCACAGAACAGAGTCAGCCATGACTGTCTACATTGGTGAGGAGGAGAGAGGCATAGCTAATCTGAAACACACATGATGCCAAAGGGGAACTTTTAAAAAATGCTTTCAGTGGAGTAGGTTTTTGCTGGTGTGTTTTTTCATTTTTATTTTGTTTTGCTCTTTTTTGCTTGTTTGACTGTTGTGTTGATGCCTCTAATACCTACAGCCAACAGTTTCCCCGGGCAAGCATCAGCATACACTTCTTGACCGGTATCAACGGGTGGTGGGAGAGCAGAGACAGAATTTTCGAGCAAGGCTGGAATTAAAGTTTGCGTATGGCCTCAGCCCAAACGCAGACCAATTCCAGGCTAGTCTGGGCCCATGGCATCACAGCCTTCCTTCTGAGCATGAATATCTCTGACATGAGCTCACTAACTAAACAAGCAAAGGACATGGTGCAGAGTGACCGTTGGCCTTTTTTCCAGCCAGTGGCACCAGACAGGGTTTGCTGATGCTTTCGTCTCTAAGTTCCTTTATCCCGCCCTCCTGTTCCCTCATGTTCGTTCTTGTGGGCTAAGACCTTCCCCTGCTTCTCGTGCACCGTAGAGGTTTCTGGTGGTGAATAGGAGCCCTGGGCATAGAAAAGAGATGAGGGTGAAGCAGTGCCAGGAGCAGGAGCTTGGAATACAGACAGCAGCAGGTTTTACCTTCCCTTGGGCACAGAACTTTGGCTACCGAGGGGCCCCCGTTGTTTGTCTCGTTAATAACAACTAAATTTTCCCCTCACTCTGGCTCAAAATTCATTATTGGTCTTCAGTGTGCAGAGCGGCCAAGGCAGACCTGGTGTTTATGGTAGACGGATCCTGGAGCATTGGAGATGATAATTTCAACAAAATCATCAACTTCCTGTACAGCACCGTTGGGGCCCTGAACAAGATCGGCGTGGATGGAACCCAAGTAAGGCTAATAGATCAATCATCAATGCATTCTGCGTATTCAACAAGTATTTCTCCAGCTCTCACCTTGGCTGCTCCTTAGGGGTTATAGGCAAAGATGATGGTCAGAGCCAGCCCTAATGAGAGACAGACAAGTCTGTGTCTGGAAGCAGCTTGTTGGTTCTTGGGGGCAGGAGGGTCCAGAGGCTGCCACTTCTTAGAGCTGATGTTTGGATGGACTAAAGCAGGGTAGAAGAGAGTCATTTCTTTTACATACTAGGGGACGTTTCTTTTATACACTCGGGTGGAAGGTCTTCTCTGATGATACACACAATATTTTCCCTGTCCTCAAGGATATTGCAATCTCAAAAGGAAAAGGTTAAGGTCACACATCACTATACAGAATACTGACATATACATGCAACTAATTTACTCATTTAAGAAATATGTACTGAGGATTCATTGTGGCCAGGCACTGTATTGTCATGATGAGAGTCAACGTGTCCCTAATTTCATGGCGCTCGCATTCTTGAAGGGAGAGGGGCAGCTATGAACAGTTTAAAAAAAATCCCCAAGACAGGAATGTACGCTATGAAAATGGTGCTGTGATTTTAAAAGTTCAGTGGGGGAAATGTGTGTGAGGGTTGTTTTATGTTGTGTGGTCAGTGGGGGCTTCTGTGAGGCCTGGTTTTTGAATGGAGATGTGAAGGATGCAGAGCAATCTGAAAGGAGACTTTCCAGACAGAGAAAAGTGCACAGGACCTGAGATGAGAATGAGTCTGGGACTTCAGGCGCCAGCACGGGGGCCAGAAGGCGGGGGGTGAGGGTGTCGGGGGAAGAGGCGGGAGGAGTGGACGGGAGCCGAGTCACCTCGAGGCCCGTGGGTCACAGAGGAGCTGGCTGGCGTCAGGCGTGCGGTGGGTGAGCCTGTGGGTGGGAGACGGAGAGAAGTGGGCAAAAGCCAGGTCACCATGAGACACGGCGGAGCTGGCTGTCCTCAGGAATGCAGAGGAAGCCACAGAAGGGTTCCCGGAGAGAAGGCAGTGGTGCTGCTACTTGACCTTCAGAGTGTGACATACAGGTGGAGAGCCATGCCCTGGCTCCTCTGTTCCCGCAGAATATGCTGACAAAGAGGCTGTCCTGTAGCTGGTGCTTGGCAGGTCCTAGGGACTTGCAACTTCCCTGTGTTAACCTGTGTGAGCACCTGTCAACTTACGGGGGAAAATCATCTACAAATCTGGGGATACGTCGAGTACAGACAACTCGTTATATTTACTTTGTGTACGCATGCACCAGTTTCATCAAAAGGATTCCAATAAAATATTAAAGCAAAAAAAAAAAAGATGAACGTCTCTTCTCTCTCCAGGTTGCAATGGTTCAGTTCACTGATGACCCCAGAACAGAATTTAAACTAAATGCTTACAAGACCAAAGAGACCCTTCTGGATGCAATTAAACACATTTCATACAAAGGAGGAAATACAAAAACAGGTGAGACCGAAAACAGCCCTGCTAAGGATCAAAGGGATCAATTATTAGTAACTACTGAAACGAATTTTGTTTTCAAAGCATAGTAATTTTTAAAATACTTTTATTTGGCTTGAGAATGTTGTTCCCACCCTTGTCTCCCCAGCAAAACAGAAATAGGAGACAATGAAATTGAGCTGTTGCCTTCCTCTGTTTTAGGAAAAGCAATTAAGCATGTTCGAGATTCCCTGTTCACTGCGGACTCAGGCACAAGAAGAGGCATCCCAAAGGTTATCGTGGTGATCACAGATGGAAGATCCCAAGATGACGTGAACAAGATCTCCAAGGAGTTGCAGTTAGATGGTGCGTTTTATGTAAATAAACAATAGTGGCCACTAAAAGTAATGTTTTCGAGATACATATGTATAGGCTATATCAGTGTTATTTAAAAGTTTTTAAGTCTTTCTTAATATTAACTGGACAAGGTGATTTTAAAAACGCCCCTGGGCTCAGTGGCTCATCCTGTCATCCCAGCACTTTGGGAGCCCAAGGTGAGAGGACTTGGGTTCAAGACCAGCCCGGCAACTTGGCAAGACCTTGTCTCTACAATAGATGAAAAATATTAGCCGGGTACAGTAGCACGCACCTGTAGTTCCAGCTCCTTGGAAGGCGGAGAAGGAAGGATCACATCTAGCAGGTCAACGCTGGGGTGGCTGTGAGCGTGCCACTGCACTCCAGCCCGGGAGATAGAGTGAGATTCCAACTCAGAAAATAAAAAAATAAAATGTGCAGACATAGAGTTGTTACTTAGATGTGAACTCTTTTGTCTCGAGCACTAATTGGGCGCTCTCATTTTGCGTTTGTTTAAAATGGAAAATCTCTTGAGGGAATGATGGACTAACGATCACACCATGAACCCTGTCCTCGCACAGCTCTGACGGACTGTAAAGAATGAATTATCCACCCCACGGGCCTCCTAAAGAAGCAGTCTAAACATCTGGCCGTGTTTCTGTTGCAGTTCTTGTTTTCTGCACAATTGAATCAGAAGATCTGCTTCTTCTCTGCCACAGGCTTCACCATTTTTGCCATCGGCGTGGCCGATGCGGATTACTCGGAGCTGGTCAGCATCGGCAGCAAGCCCAGTGCCCGCCACGTCTTCTTCGTGGATGACTTCGATGCCTTCCGGAAAATTGAAGACGAGCTGATCACTTTTGTCTGTGAAACCGCGTCGGCGAGTAAGTTCTTTGCCATTTGTACTTGCTCGCGTTGTTGAAAGGCTGTCGTGCTTAATACCGGTTAAATAACGAGTCCCGTCTTGCTCTGAGGACAGAATATTGACCCCAGAGCTGCGTGTATGCTGACATCAAGCTTTATGGTTTTGAGCACATGGAAGGGAACCTCTGCTTCCCGCTGTTTAGAGTTGAAGGTCGATAAAGACCTTCCTCAACCAGATAATCAGATGAGAGTTTGTGTTTTCAATCAACTGCTTAACCAGATGTAGCAAACATGATGAAGACTGCTCCTCAGCCGGGCACGGTGGCTCACGCCTATAATCCCAGCACTTTGGGAGGCCGAGGTGAGAGGATTGCCGGAGCCCACGGGTTCAGGACCAGCCCGGGCAACTTGATGAAACCTCATCTCTACAATAAATCCCAAAACTAGCCAGGCATGGTGGCTCATGCCTATAGTTCCAGCTACTTGGAAGGCTGAGGCAGAAGGATCACCTGAGCCCAGAAGGTCGAGGCTGCAGTGGCCATGAGCATGCCACGCGGCATTCCAGCCTGGGCAACAGTGTGAGACTCCAATTCAAGAAGAAAAAAAAGACCGTTCCTCAGGGCAGCATGTGACAAGGGAGATGTCTCCTAACACTTGCTCTCAAGCGGCAGATGGCAGTTTTCATGAACCCCGAAGAGAAGGAGGCTGTGGCCTTTTGGTCACTATACGGGACCTTAGAGCACTTCAGTCTTTACAAAACGCAGAAAGCCACAGCCACATCTAATTTGGATGTCAGTTTTCTGTTCTCAGGACAGGGAAAGAGTGTGCTTGGGAAACATCTAAGTGAAGGCTTTCTATGTGTGTTTGGTCTTCCAGCCTGCCCGGTGGTGCACAAGGATGGCGTTGACCTGGCAGGTATGCACGTCACAGTTTCTCCAAATGCAAGTATGTTACATGACTCCCACTTGGGGCTGGGGTCTCTGTTTCTTTTTCTGTTTTTTTGCCTTGTTTTGTTTTTAGTCCTTAGTAGAAAAATCTGAAATTTAAAACCCTGAAGTGCCTGTTTATTATTTTTTTCTCTCTATGTTTTTAAGGATTTAAGATGATGGAAATGTTTGGTTTGGTGGAAAAGGACTTTTCCTCGGTGGAAGGGGTTTCTATGAAACCTGGCACCTTCAACGTGTTCCCGTGTTATCATCTGCACAAGGATGCTCTGGTCTCCCAGCCAACCAGGTGTGTTTTTACTACACGATATTAAAGCCAGTCATTTGCTCATTCTGTCTCAGTGTGAAGATGATGTCTGCTTGCAACACGCTGTTGCAGTTCCTGGTAGGGTTTTCCATGTTGTTTAGAGCAGCGGGTATTTACAGTGCTTTGTTGACAGACATCAGACTCACACGTAATGCACGTTGAGCTCTGACATCTGTTGATCTGTGTAGCACTGCTGCAGACAAGGCTCTGTTCTAAATGCTTCTGGACATCACCTTACTCAAGCCCCCAGACAACTCTGTGAAGCAGATGCAGTGATGATCTGAGTTTTACAAGTGACGAGACTGAAGCAGAAAGAAGCTAAGTGCCCCGGTGAGGTCACATGCTCTGGATAGGGATTTTTCAGGTCAGCCTGGGCTTCGAGTGTGTCGGCTCCAGGGGTCGGCCAACTGGGCCCCAGAGAGGGTCAGCTCGATGGGCTGGCAAGCCAGGCTCTGAGAGTGCGGCAGCCCCCAGAAGTGTCTCAGCTTCTGAGCCTCGCCTTCGGCCTACACCCCTCCAGTTCAGCCAGCTCCCTTGGCCGGCAAGCCCGCCTCTGGGGTGCCCAGCTCTTTGGCTCCTAGATCTTCTGCAGCTCTTCAGGTCCGGTTTCTTGTCTAGTGCCCAGGAGGAATGAGGGGCACGGGTAGCCAGAGAGTTGGGAAAGCAGAGACGCTCCCACAATGGGAGGGGACTGGAGGGGATTGCTGATTTGATGCTGCCACTTGGTGCTGATATAGCCCCAAGACTGAGTCAATTGGAGAGCACAAGCTGTGAGCTGATTGATTGGCACCGGCTGTGCTGGGAGGGAGGCACATAACATCAGTAAGGGTGCCTGATCCTAACCCAGGCGAAGGGAGGCCCACTGGGAGGCCCCAAACTTGACCTGCCCCTGGTCAGTACTAAGAACCAGTTGGCAGGAGGTAGGGGCCTGATGGTGAGCTGATGGGTGGGTGCTTGGACGTGAGTAGATGGGTTGTTTTTCTGTTCCAGCAGTGAGTGCTCAAGCTCTAGCTTGTAGGGAACTTGTTTACCAGTGCGAGCGTATCAGCCCGAAAGACCTGCCGGAGGTCTGTTGCATTGCCCTGTCTGCCTGCCTGGCTTTTCTCTGGCTCTCTGCTCTCTCAGTGTGTTGAAAGGCGGTGCGGGGTCTGCATCCAGGAGTCAGGCTCCAGAGCTGAAGCCTCGAATGCACCACGATGCAGCCGTAATTCGGATGGTTTTATCCTGAGACAGTCACCGCAGCAACTCCACAGAGTTGAAGGGTAGTTTCAGGTTTATGTGGCCACTCCACAGACACATTTGCCTTTTTCTTGTTTTTATCCTCTCCAGTCCCGGGCAGATCAGAGGGTGTTACCACGTGGAGGGCGGGTCTTTCCCAGCAAGTTCACGCAGTCTTGTGTGTTAATCTCCTCGGGAAACACCCTCACAGACACACCACAAATAATGCTTGACCATGTTTCTGGGTATCCCCTAATCCAGTCAAACTGACCCCCCAAATTAGCCATCACAGCATCTTTGTGAGTTTTATTAACTGATCTGTCTTAAAATATCCATTACACTGTCTGGCATATAGTAGGCTCTCAGCAAACATTTGTTGAATGAACCAATGGATTAACACATAAATGAATGAATGAAAGACTTGTTTATCTATGCACATCTGACTCTGATTTTTAAAAAATTTAATTGAATTTAATTTTACAGTTGGGTGCGAGTCAGGATGGCGTCCACAAGTGGTTTAGGTGCAGGTCGAGCTTTGGGCCTCCCAGTGGCCCTCGCTTCGCCTGGGTTAGGATCAGGCACCCTCCCTGATGTCCTGCCCCCAGCCTCCTGGCAGGGTCCTGCTACTGCCAACCCCTTTTTCGGAGTGCCATGACAGGTGTTCAGGGTCCACTTATGAGTAAAAACGTGTGGCCCTCAGTTCTTTGTTTCTGTGATAGAGCACTGAGTATGATCGACTTCAGATCCATCCAAGTTGTTGCAAAGTCCATAATTTTGTCCTTCTTTCTGGCTGTGTAATATTCCATCCTGCATATGTACCACTTTTTTTTTTTATCCAGTCCAGTTTCGATGGGCAGCATGGTTGCTCCATGTTTTTCTATTGTGAATAATGGGGCAATAAACATGTGTGTGCAGGTATCTTTTTTGTAGAATGACTTGAGTTTCTCTGGGTATATTCCCAGTAGGGGGATTGTGAGGTCATATGGAAGGTCAATTTCTAGTTCTTTTAAAAATTGCCACACATTTTCCTTAGCAGTTGAATTAGTTTGCACTCCCACCAACAGTGTAGAAGTGTTCCCTTTTCTCCACATCCTCCCCAACATCTGTTGTTTTTTGTTTTATTAATGACGGCCATTCTTACTGGAGTTCGGTGGTATCTCAATGTGCTTTTGATTTGCATTTCTCTGATGATGAATGAAGCTGAGGATTTTTGAATGTGTTTGTTGGTTGCTCGTATATCTTCGTTTGAGAAGTGTCTATTCATGTCTTTCGCCCATTTTTTAATGTGGCTGTTTGTTTTTTTCCTTTCGGCATGTTTGAGTTCCTTGTAGATCCTGGATGTTAGGAGTTTGTCAGATAGACAGTTGGCAAGTGTTTTTTTGCATTTTGCAGGCTGTCCCCTCACTCTCTTGATGGTTTCTTTTGCTTTGCAAAAGTTTTTCAGTTTGATGAGGTCCCACCTGTCTATCTCATGTCTTATGGTATGGCATCTGGAGCTTTGATCAGGAATTGGTTGCCTATTCCAATTTCTGTAAGGGTGTCTCCTGCATTTTCTAAGATTCTTATAGTTTGAAGTCTTATGTTTAGGTACTTGATCCATTTGGAGCTGATTTTTTGTCTGGTGATAGGTAGGATCCTGTTTCATTCTTCTACATGTGGTCAGCCAGTTTTCCCAGCACCATGTACTGAATAGTTTCTCCTTTTCCCAGTGCTTGTTGGTGGAGGTTTTGTCAAGGATGAGTTTGTTAAGAAATTGAGGTTTTGCTTCCAGAATCTCTATTCTGTTTCATTGGTTTATATGCCTGTTCTTGTGCCAGTGACAGGCTGTTTTGATTATCGTAGCCTTATAATAAAGGTTAAAGTCTGGAACCGTAATATCTCCCGCTTTGTTACTTTTGCTGACGATTGTTTTGGCTATTCTTGGTCGTTTTTGTTTCCATACGAATTTCTGTATTGTTGCTTTCATTCTAAGAAGAGTGATGATGGTGATTTAATTGGTATTGCATTGAACCTGTAGGTTGCCTTTAGTAGGATGGACATCTTATCTTAACAATGTTGATTCTTCCAATCCATGAGCTTGGAATATTTTTTCCATTTGTTTATGTCTTCTTTGATTTCTTTTGGACACTGTTTTGTAGTTTTCATTGCAAAGGTATTTCACTTCTCCAGTTAGTAAGATGACAAGTTATTTCATTTTTTTGTGGCTATTATGAATGAGATTGTACTTTTTAATTTTTTTGTGGCTATTATGAATGAGATTGTACTTTTTTATTTGGTTATCTGCCTGTTTGTTGTTGGTGTATAAAAATGTGCTGTCTTTTACACATTGATTTCATACCCTGAGACTTTGCCAAAGTCCTTTATCAGCGCAAGGAGGTTTTTGATGGATTTGCTTAGGTTTTCCAGGAATAGGTTCATATTGTCTTCAAAGAGGGATAATTTAACTTCCTCTTTTCCTATTTGAGTACCCCTGATTGCCTTCTCTTGTCTGATTGCTGTAGCTAGGACTTCCAAAACTATGTTGAACAGGAAGGGCGAGAGTGGGCAGCCTTGCCTTGTTCTGGTTTTCAGGAGAAATGCTTCCAATTCGTGTCCATTTAGTAATATGTTGACGGTGGGTTTATCATAGATGGCTTTTACTATTTTGAGGTATGTTCCTACTATACCTAGGTGTTCAAGGGGTTTTATCAAGAATGGATGCAGATTTTGTTGAAAACCTTTCCTACATCTAATGATAGAAACATATGGTTCTTGTTTTTACATCTGTTGATGTATTTAATTACATTTATGGTCTTGAGAATGTTAAACCAGCCCTATATCCTGGGGATGAAGCCTACTTGGTCATTGTGAATAATTTTTGAGATGTGTTGTTGGATCTGATTTGCTAGAATGTTGTTGAGAATTTTTGCAACTATGCTCATCAAGAATATTGGCCTGTAGTTCTCTTTCTTTGTTGGGTCTTTGCCTACTTTGGGTATTAGTATCATGTTAACTTCATAAAATGATATGGGGAGAGTTCTGTCTTTCTTGATTGCCTGGAATACTTTCAATAGGATTGGTATCAGCTCCTCTCTGTATGTTTTATAGAATTCTGCAGGAAAGCTGTCTGGCTCAGGGCCTTTTGTGTAGGTAGTTTTCTTATGATGGAGTCAATTTCCCAGGTTTTATTGGTTTATTTAGGGTCTCTATTTCTTCTTGTTTGAACCTTGGGAGGTTGTGTGATATCAGAAAGTCCGCCATTTCATTTAGGTTTTTGAATTTGTTTCCATACAGGTGTGCATATTAATCTCTGATAATCTTTTGTATTTTTTCAGGATCAGTTGTTACCTGATCTTTTGCATTTCTGCTTGTGTTGATTTGGGCTTTTTGTATCTTTTTCTTGGTCAATTTGACTAGGGGGTCCATCAATCTTGTTTATCCTTTCAAAGAGCCAGCTTTTTGTTTCATTGATATTTTTCTATGATATTTTTGTCTTCTATGTCCCATATTTGGGTTTTTACTTTGGTGATCTGGGTTCTTCTGCAAAGTTAGGGCTTTGGGGGGGGGGGTCCTGCCTTTCAGCTCCCTTTGGTGACTTGTTAGGCTATTGACTTATGATCTTTCTCTTTTTTTGATTGTGTTCGTAGCGATATAAATTCCTCTCTTAGAACTGCTTTAATGTATCCCAGAGATTTTGGTAAGATGTGTCTTGGTTTTCATTTGTTTCTAAGAATCTTTTAATTTCTATTTTCATTTTTGTGTTTAACCAAGAGTTGCTCGGCATT